TCGCGAAACTTTACAAAGGAGCTCATTGATACTATTCTTATAGGAGTTCGCAATGGCTTTTATTGGCGCGGTACAATACATGTTGCCTACGCTATTTAATGTTAGGAACTTGATATTCAGTCTCTTAAATTAGCTAATGGTTCTTGAACAATATTGCATAAATACAACTACCTGCTACAATCTTATAGGTACAATGCTACTGAATTTCCCAACTGAAATCTAGATTGACCAAAGCTAGGGCGGATAATATTTGTGAAAGTTACAACACGTGCTTTGTTTTTATAAGGTGGGAATTTTCAGGATATTCATGTTTAGTTTTCAGTAATTAACTACTTTGGGTCATGCGACAAAACGCAAGAAACCAATTCTAAGCTAACCGTAACCGATACGCGTACTCGTAACTTGTCGCGGACCCGCCGCCCAAACATGGCCAATGTTTGTAAACTTCATAACGCTATACGCCCTACTACTAATGTTTTTATTAGATGCAAATTTTCAGCATCTAGCTATTTAGGTGCCATATACCTAGTTTCAAAGCGACAAAACGCAAGAAACCAATCCTGAGCTAACCGTAACCGATACTCGTAACTCGTCGCGGGCCCGCCGCCCAAATACGGCCAATGTTTGCGGACTTCATAACACTGTGCAAAGGTTTTATTAGACGTATGAACGTCTAATAAAACCAAAACGTCTAGTAAAAGATACATATGAATGTATCTTTCAGTACGTATCTGGCTATTTAGGCGCCATGTGCCTAGTTTCAAAGCGACAAAACGCAAGAAACCAATCCTGAGATAACCGTAACCGATACTCGAAACTCGTCGCGGGCCCGCCGCCCAAACACGGCCAATGTTTGCAGACTCCATAACACTTATGCAATGGTCTTATGAAATGTTCATAAATGTATCTTTCAGTACGTGTCTAGGTATTTAGGCGCCATGTGCCTAGTTTCAAAGCGACAAAACGCAAGAAACCAATCCTGAACTAACCGTAACCGATACTCGTAACTCGTCTCGGGCCCGCCGCCCAAACACGGCCAATGTTTGCAGACTCCATAACACTTATGCAATGGTCTTATGAAATGTTCATAAATGTATCTTTCAGTACGTGTCTAGGTATTTAGGCGTCATGTGCCTAGTTTCAAAGCGACAAAACGCAAGAAACCAATCCTGAGCTAACCGTAACCGATACTCGTAACTCGTCGCGGGCCCGCCGCCCAAACACGGCCAATGTTTGCGGACTTCATAACACTGTGCAATGGTTTTATTAGAGTCATATTGTATCTTTTAGTACATATCTAGCTATTTAGGTCCCATGTACCTAGTTTCAAAGCGCCAAAACGCAAGAAACCAATCCTGAGCTAACCGTAACCGATACTCGTAACTCGTCGCGGGCCCGCCGCCCAAACACGGCCAATGTTTGCGGACGGCTCGACGCGCGCCAACGCCTACAACTATTAAATTATTTAGGCCCAGTCTTGCATTGTCTCGCGAAAGTCTATCTGGCCGGTGCCGGCCGTACCGCCAGGGCTACCGTTTGCGGAAAAGTTACAAAAATAGTTTTGGAATAAAAAAATCTCTAGATTATAGTGATGGGGATGAGGATAGAATAGTTTCGTTAATATTTATAAAATAAAATAGTTTCTCTAAGTAATGTACAATGTACCTACTAACCAAAAAACTGACAACAAGATATAAGAAAGGTATTTATCGTTTTATTAGTACAGTAACAGTCCAAGCAGATTGTTTTTACGACTTTTAAAGGAAGTCTATGCACTGTAAAATCATGCAAATCCAATTGAAAAAATTGTAGACTGCTTTTTATAGCTCTTAATCTGCACAAGCATTTGTTTCCTTCGGTAAATAACGAAATGTGGTTCGGAGTTTCCCAACAAGACGGTAACCCTACAGCTCCGGGGCGCAGTATAAACATAGTTGTTACAATCCGATAGAAATGTCCCGAATGTGCGACGATCGCTCGGCTCTGTATTGAATTAGAGCGACGAGTCCGCAAACTAGTACACTGGTTAATGGAATGCCGATGGGCCATTGTGTACCCCGTTTTCTATTCAAACGCGATATTATACCCTCGTGTACACCAGCCTTTCTTGGAAAGGCTCCGTTTAATATTCGGAATTTGTAGAATAATAACAGACTTATTGTCTTTGCGATAGTTAAAATTGAAATTCTTAGCATATTGTAATGTTCAAGCAACTTGCTGAGTAGTTTAAACACATCACAAACTCTAATCAAGTTTGGAGGCTTTTGGAAAAATATTTAATGGAATCGGTATTACAAACGTCACTTGTTAAATTCGAAGTTTTCTTCTCAATGTCAAAGATTAAACTTATCAACGTCGCTCGTTTTATGCATCGCTCTAGTTCTAATACTTTAATACTAGTGCCCCTTATTCCATATTGCCTTTACGGTAAGAGCGATCACCGTTACTCCATCATTAGTGCTGCAGGTCGCAGCGTCGTATTTCGGTCGTGACCCGCGACCCCCGCAAATTGCACACATACCCGCAGGTCAGCCTCTACTTAGGTTCTGTCCACCGCTTGCCTGTACATAGAGTTCAAACGCCTTTAATATCTGGACTTAGCTTGGTTCGTGTATCCACTTTAGGTTATACAGGCATCAAGGTTTAGTGATGTCCTGTAATTGTGAATTGGGTCTTATGTTGGACGATTGTACTAAGATAGATATTTAGAGACATGGATATTTAAACTAAGTTATACTTTGGTTGTAAGTCCACAGTTTGCCAAATTTAACTTTATAAAGGCTTAGGCCAAAGCTGTAGCGTAACGTAAGCTCTACCAATTCCTAAATTGGACGATAAAAATACTTGTTAGTATCGAAATCGTGTGAACTTTTAGGGCGCTCGAACATCGATACGAACGTCATTTATCATAAAAAAATCGCTACTGACAATTTAATACGCCCTTATTACACTATACGTTGGACATAATTTAAAATCTATGCATATGCAATGCATCCTGTATCAATCAACTTCGCCGGGCTCGTATGTGTCGTCATTAGTGCAGTAGAGTCACATCTGTTACATTTCGGAGCCGTGCAGCGACGCATACCTGACGTGACCTATGCAAATCACACGCATACAGGTCAGGGGACAGGCCAACTGATGGAGACATTCGTCATTTGTTCCACCAGTTAACTCTACAATTAAAAGTTGTTATTTTTCTAAAACACCAGAAGTAACTTGCGCAAATTAATTGACAGTCAAATTGGACTCAACTAATATTTAAATTAGTATTTGGCTTCACAGTTGCCGCTTTCCTTCAGGGCTGTTTATGTATTGACGCAATTAATTCCCACAATTGTCATTGTGAGCCGCCCCATTCCGCTGGAGCACCGGGATAAAGGACCGACCCAAGTTTCAATAGCCTCCGTATTAGTTTGCAATGTAATTGTTCCCGGCCCGCTGCAATATGTAACCACAAATATTATGCATGTTTAATTAACGCCATTCCTAATTCATAATCCGACAGTGATAAATTAGACAGCCCCGACCGCCGTAATTAGGTACGCAATTATCGCGCCACGTTTGAATTCATTAATGCTGAAAGTATACTCTAGGCGAACGTGATTTATTACGTGGCATCTTGCCTATCGCAATTAATACCGCGTTACACCTGCGCCCTACAACCGTATACGTACGATTTTTAATCGTGAAACAGTTCGCCGCGCCGTGAAATAATTAATCAGCTATAACAAGATCCTCATATTGTTCCCCCCGGTTCTATTATTAGGCAATAAGCGTGTTTTCCGCGGCCGCCGAGCGGACGTAATTGGAAACCCTATACGGCTATTTAATTTACCTAGCCGCCTGAGCCGAGCCACCTGGCTCGATGGCGAAACAATTGCCGAGCGCCTAATTATATTTTAATCGCAACGTGCCCCCCGCCCGGCCGGGGGCCCGGGGCGCCGGGCCCCAGGGTCACAACAGCGCCACTAATTCATTTGTGCGGCGGGACTCTACTAGCACGCCGCTCGCCAGTGCCTGTTTATTCTCATAGGAGAGTTTAGGTCTCCTAAAGCAATAGACGCTTTAACATATTAACCGAACGTTTATAAGGGCCCGAGCGTGCAATGCCGTCAAGTTAATTAAGTTCTCTTCAAAGACTCAGGGTTCGTACTTCCTAATAAATTTATGCATGAACGCTCGTGTTTTTAATTTGGTTGTTACATGCAAATTCGGTGTAGGATGTGTCGCTGCACTGAGTTGATCAAGTGCAATAAATATTAAAGTTACAATATCATTGTACGTGTACGCGAGCAGCTGTTCCGCGAACTATGCCAATTGTGTGCAGCCTTTGTTCGCGGCATTCACTATGAAACTACCTATTACAACAATACAAACCCACTATGACATCAATTCGGTGTACTAAATTAATAATTCCCATTTCGGAATTATCGTAAGCCACTTGGCAAACAAAATAGGCACTTAAATTATTTTGATAGCAGTAAATGTAATTGGAGCTTATTCAATAGCCACGAAAACCACACAAAATAACAGGTTATTGGTATTTCCAACATTGTACTATCTCTATCTCGGTTTATTTAATATTTCATCAGCAAATGGATATTATAAACTTCGCCGCAGTTAGAAGCACAGGGAAGACATAAAGAAGTGACTTCGTCCATAAGTTAGTCTAAACTATTGCGAAGAAGTTGTGTGGAAACCGGCAACGGTTGACGTGTGATACGATTTAGCACTGAACTGGCTGCTCCTGCGCCCACTTCGCATTAGCGTGAAAGCCTCCTTCGGCGGGAGGCTGCGCATTGGCCATTAGCGTGATTAGAGAAACACACCCCCACCCGCGAATTCTTTAGGCCTCTCATCTCATAATACTACATATTTCATTATTTATGTAAGCTCTGTTTTTACTCCAATCTACTCTCACGGAGATTACACACAGTCTAAGTAATTGTAAAGCTTTTTGCTCTGGATATTAAAGTTTCGATTTTGTTTCTTTGCAGATGATGGCGTGTTCGTATCTCAGCGCTGGGATGAAGACTGAGGCTAGTGCTGCGTGCTGGACCCCGCCCAACGTGGGTCCGCTGGCTGATATACAGGGGCCTTCGGGGCTGCCGGCGCCTGTTTTCTTGCGGCCGCCGGCGATGCTAGGGGTCCTGCCCCCGCTGCCCGGCCCGCTGCCTGGCCCGCCGCACGAGCCGGCCCTGGACCTCACCACGACGCCATCCCTCAAGGCCCGGCTGCCGTCCTCACCTAGTGACGACGACACGGAGTGACAGTGTTGTGCCAGAGACAACTGAACTCTACCGATCGCGAAATTATTACACATTTTACAGTAATAATTTTAACGTCAGTGAACTGTTAAGTTATACCTTAGTACCTACGACATATTTAATTTCGGTTGTGAAAATGGCAATTCTGTAATACTTAACTCGCTCTATGTAAATTTCCATTAAACTACTGGTACTTAAGAGTTAAACAGAATGAGATGTGTTAAACACAAGGGAGTTGTATTTATATGAAATGATGAAGTGTGTGTAAGTGTGAGGAAATGACATATCTTATGTAGGTGTGGAGGCATTTTATCTTCTTATTGAAATTAAGATCAGTTGTGTTAAAATCTCACGAGTTGTGACCTCCATAAGGCGAGGAGGAAGGCGTATTTAGATTTCTCCGATTATGACCATATAAATAGCACATATTAAATGCCAATTTAAAGAAGAACAAATCATAAATGCTATTTGATATTTTCTTTTGCCTCCTCATTCGACCTAGAGATTGTAACTATCGTCTATTTTCTTTTCAACAGTCTTTCTTTCTCGACAACCAGCAAGAGACCTTATACTGGTCTTCTTACTCTTGGTTTTATTTTAATTTATTTAAGCATCGTAATTTGGAACACCTAACCTGAAGATAAAGTGTCACAACTCAAAATTTCAACTAATATTTTAGTAACATTTGTGTAAAAATGCCGTTTCATTTGGCTAAATGGGTTAAAAATCTGAAATATGGAAAAAATATATATTATTTTTTATTATTTCATTTGACACTGAATCAGAGGTGCAGTGTTCCATTAACGTCTTATACATGTCGATTCTTGCCAGAAATCGTATCTTTTATAACCTTGTTTGTAACATCGACCGTGTTTCTCGCGCACTCATCTCTGTGATTTGCAATTTTGCTGTGTAAATAACTTTCTCGAATAAATTTGTTATTTCGTATATAAACGACGAGCTGTCGGACACGACGGCCCGTCACTATTATTCGTTTATGATGTACATATTAGCATATTCTAGGTGTAAGTAGGAACATCTCGCACCTAACTTTGGGCGCAAAACTTCGTAGCAATAATTTTGATGCCAACGTCTTTGAAGTATTAAATCAACTTACTAACGGTCTCTGTATATATATTGATCTATGTTTTACCATTAAAGTTGTTCAAATCGATTTCTAAATAAATGTATGCAGTTATTGTAAGTACTTAAACGCTAACATTCCTTAATACGTGTATAATGTCTGTGTATCATTGTAATGTAAAACATTATATTTCATACTAAATTATTTATTTTAACTTGTTGTCAATGTGGCTTAGATTAGAATTACTATTCTGACAAACCTAATTTATTGACATTAAAATAAAACTATGTGTAATAAAAATGTAGATCGTTTCTGATATCACATTAAAGGCATAAAAACTCTATATTTATTTAATAGTATCATAATAGGTATCCCTAAACCACATCGGCATGCGTGCATTAATGTTAGCGTTTAGTGAATCTTGCCATCTAAACATATGTTAATTTACTAAAAACTACACTGACTTTAGAGAGATTTTGAGATTGGTTCAAAAATCACCAAATGGTCATCATTTAGTTACAGGGAACAGCACTACAGATTTTAGTTGCAAAATCGACTCTATCACAACTACATTAGAGGCCACAGTGTTTACCTTGGTGTGCTGTTGTCTGTAGTATCAAAAATCGAATCTAAGTCCGTGGCAGTTTATTAGAAACGACAGTTATGGTGTTACCAATACACAAAGAAAGAACATACATACTTAGAATAAGAGAACCGGCGACAGGAGGAGAAAATAAACATTTTGTAAATTATAACCTGGTTTCAATCAACCCCTAACCTAACATTACTGTCCAAAGTAATATGCATTAATCTGAAAACTATACATATTGTGACGTAAAGAGAAACGTAACATAATATTTACGTAAAAAAATAAAAATCGGGTCCTTTGAGAGGATGAAATTATTTGGGTCATATCATTGGGTAACATAAAAGCTGGACATGATTCCTATAGGTGTTTATCATCAAACAAAATACTAGGAAAGAATTTGTATGCAGATAAGATTCTATAGTCACAGTCTGACTACACAAATACCTGAAAAGAACATTTGAAAATGACCCGCTTGACATCAAAATGAATATTCATTAACACTGAAATAATATTATTGACACTGAAATGAATTACGAGTATTGATTAAAAATCTATTTCCAATCTACGATCCTAATATAAGCGAAATTACTAGAACTTAATAACATTAATACAGCGATACGAAACTAATAAATACCTATTAATCAACTTCGATCAGTCTTAATGAAAATAATACTTACTCGTATTTTATCATATGCTATTCGACAGTAGAATTAGACATAATTTAACCTACCTTATTGTTTATCGTAGAAACTTCAATTGTTACCAAAAAACAAAAAGTTAAACTGAAAATCATAAAATACTTTAAACATCCCAATGTAAACAAAAATAATTTATTATTAATTTTATTTAAATTTATGTTATTTTCCGGCTGTTGTTGCTATTTTTTCGCAAAAAATACAGTAAAATTATGTACATTCAGTTGGATTAAAAAGCAAGAAAACATCTGGCAGACTGTTTAACATTGCAGATTCAACGATTATGTAAACAAGCCTTTTCGAAGCCTTTTTTGGCCACGACAAAATAAGTGGACGACACTTAATTAGTATTCAAAAATATTTCGATTTCAGTCAGTTCGCAACAGGCAACACTTTTTCTATCGCATATTCATTGCAGGGACCACTGAAAGTCAGCGCCGGTTGGGGTAACTTACAGAGTTTTAAATCGTCCTAACTGCATTATGCATTTAGTCTCAATGTTCTGGAACTTCTTATTTCTTGTACAAAAAGCAAAAATTTAATAACCGTAGTCGCAACAGCTCTACACTACTAGCCAATTGACATACTTTTGATGTATTCAAGAATAAATCAATAATAATTTTCAAGAATCTTTATTTAATAGCTCCCTTATTGACTGATTTGCTGATTCTCCACTTTTCGTAGCACGTAGTCGTAGCGGACCGCGTAGCTCGTAACGCGGCGTGCATAACTCAAAAACTAGCATTAGAAAACTTTTTTATGTTCACTTACACAAAGGCTATTTTAATTTAAATATAATATTATAGATTTAAAAAACATACTGATATCGGTTTGTGTATGGACTGTAATGCACAGTTGAGCGCGCCTTACGCTCGGTGCACATGAGTTTGTGTTGGCAATTGGATTATCCCATTGTGCATCGGTATCGTGACAACAGATGATTCGGGAAAGACCGATAATATCTACAGAGGGTGAGTAAATATTTATTTTACAATTTTTTTAGTTACCATATACCATAGTGAAGCATGTAGACGAAACTTTTTATAAGTATGTGTACGTTGTTTACTACGAGCTACGAGTACCTACGTATTTAGGTAAGTCATGTAAATCTCCAAATAATTAATTTTCAAGTGTAATATTTAATATAAATATGAGTATAACATAATAATGAGTAACCTGTTCTATGTTAAGAAAAAGAAAATTGTTACTTCTTGACCTACAAAACACAGACTTCTCTGTGCTGTGATCTGCTTATCACGAAAATTAGGACAAAATTCAAATGCCTAAATTATACCTGGCTATTATTTTTTGCATTGACCGTTATATTTTCCACGCTTGAAATAGAAAACCATTTTCCCCACTTCCAATCAGTGACATTAACGACATCCGAACCCGAAACCCGGGGGTTTTGTTGGAATTTGACCGGCGGCGGGACCAATTACGCGGCGTGGTTCCTTCCTGCGCCATCAAACATGCACGACGCTGAAAAACGACCAGATTAATTGTTGAAACCTAAATTTAAAGACCATTTTTAGTTTCAACTGCAAACGGTAGAGGACAAGTTCAGGTTAAATCTGATATTAGAGTGTTTATACTCTAAATTATCTTTTTAAAACACACAATACTTGCGTACTAAATACCCTAGCAGGTATTGTTCCAGTCAATAATGCTAGGTCCTGCACAATGAACATAAGAGTGCTAAAATAGACATTTTGAACAAACTTATTTGGAGATTTTATTGCTGAAGGGGATCTCTCACAGACAGCCAACAGGTAGAGGAAATTAGGAACGAACAAACGGAGCTAAGTTTGACTTCTCTTTCATGACACCTTTTCTTTAGAGATGGTCAAAGGAAAGTCGTCCCTACCAAAAGTTTTGGTACCAGAATTTATAAGTTATATTTATTTATTTAAGGATAGTGTAATTTGTAAACTTAACAGGTTCTAGACTACGCAACTAGTGTACGCAAAAAGTTTAAATACAGTTTCGTAAATCCTTTGAGTTTTAGTCATCTCGTGTGCGGCACGCTAAAATAAAAATCTTGCTCCACTTTTTATCGGAATGGTGCATCTAACGCTGGAAAGAGGCGAGTGGATTCGGCCATTACCCCAGTGAATATTGCAGGCCACGGCTATTGATCAGGTGTCGCTCACGTCGCTCTATCGCCACGTCACGGCTCTCCTGTCTATCAAAATCACACGGTTGAAGCTTTATTAACCTACCTAGGTACTTACTATGATAATGCCATGATTATGTACCAGCAGCCTAGAATAAGTGGATTTTAGTTTTGGACTGCATTAGAGTATTGTAACGTTTGAAGAAACACCTTGACTTGACAGAGATTGAATCTGAGATTCTTTAAGTTCTACTAAGCGTGTCATGCCTTACATGAACATAGCGTGGTCCAATACGATCTGGGGCCCTGATTATTGAGTATGTAATAACCTACCATAGACATTTCAAATTCAAATTCGTTTACTTCTTTAACTTAGCCTAGTTCAGTTACAAGTTACAAGCTTCCTGTTAAGCAACAGATGTTGCTTGTGTTAGGAAGCACCGCTCTTCCAAATCAATATAACAGTAGATAGGCAAATTTATTTTAATTGAGTTTAGTGTGCATTTCTACGAGAGAAGTACAGAACACAGCTAGTTAATTATAATCCCGTAACCGTGCACATCATTCGCCATTTATTACCTAACTTACCTTCGTTAAGTTAAATTATGCAAAAACAAGACGTCCAATTACAAGTAGAGTATGGTCTGGTATTCTCGTGTAATATGCTTGGCATATCTCAACAATGACATGTTTGGCTAATTTTGAGATAACAAGACACGATGTTCTCGACGTCCCGTCGGACGGCATCGTGAGCTAAGGGTCACTCTGTGGTAGGGCTGGTACCTGAAAAGAGTTGAATCTGCCTTGATGTAAAAGAGAGGAATTAAGAAGGGTTTAAGATTTGTAGAAGCTTTGATGACCATTTGTTCTTATTCCTCCTCTGGGAAACTGGGAACTGCAATAGCTCAGATAGATACTAGCCACCATAGACACTTGTTCACATACCATGTTCACTTGAATAAAGTGATTCACACGGATTGTTCGGATAACCAAATGATCTTTTCTCCTCCGCTATGAACTGTAATAGCCCAAACTCTTCAATTAGTAAAAGACCAACCGACTCAAATAACAAAAGCCCTCCAAATGACTGAGTCATATTTCTTACAGAATTCAAATCTGCAAATCTAACTAGCTGATATGTTTTCAGACTGAACGAGATAAACCTTTAGACCAGATCGCACCACCAAGCTGTGCCGAAAATCAAATGTAGAGTCTTAAATTAAAATAGTAAAATCAATATAAAATTAATGGTGAAACATATTTCATGTTTATAAGTAACTAACTAATCGACAGGAAATAACACTAGTTACTTATTTCAAACCTACTTCTAGTAGTTTTTCCCAAAGAAGTGGAAACCCTACCACGCACCGATGTCTGTCCACCTCTACCTACGCTAATAAGGACGCAAAAGCATTGCATTTTTATATTATATTTAAATAACTACTAATGTCAGTCGGCGACGTCGTCCAACATACGACCCAAGCAAATTGGAGCACATGTATGTTAAGCTTGCTAGTTTTATATGGTTACTTATACTTTTAATTCTAGTTCTACAATTTTAGCAGTTGGTAGAAACGCAACAATGCGAGAGAATCGTCTCACAAACTTTTTCGAAATTAAAAATAAGATATTAGGTAGGGTAGTAAAAAGCTATAAATAATTAGCTTATGTTATTCTTATACGACCTACCTAGAAATTGAAAAAAACTGTCAAATATTTTATAATGCTATTCCCAAAAGTTCAAAATCAGGGAAAACCAGTTCATTCATATCCAATTCTGCCGTCTCAAAAAGCTATCACTAAATATTATGACATTTTATTAAGAATATTTACTTGTAATGAAGCAATTTAAATAAACAAATCAAACTAATGGGCACATTTGAATCTTTAGTCATTATTCTGCATAAATGGCACATAATATTCACAATTTATGTAAATGTGAATTATTGGGTGCTTAGCACACCTTGCGTTGCGGCACCACGCAGCTAACTATACTAATTTTAGATCTATTTATCCTACCCAACTAACCCAACTAAAATTTTGATAATAAGAATAAGTGCTATATGAGCTGTATAAAAGAATTTTAAGAACCCAAGGTGAATATTCACTTAAGATATTCTAAAACATCAACATAATGATATTTAGGTACAGCAACAGTGTTAAAAAGTAACGGTGCTTAGTTCTAATTTCGGCCAGGAAACAACAAGTTTACTAAATAAGAAATTATAAACAAAACTAGGTCTTAATAATATGTTTCATATTATTATCTAGTTCATAATAACTTTATTTTGGTTTATTATTATTAGCAAATATGAATAATAATATCGCCCTTTTATACCCATACTGGACTCTACACAAAAAAAGTCATGTTGTGTGACTGCAACTTTATACTCGTAAATTATACATTCAAGTAACATAAATAATATAATTGGCTATTTATTTACAAATCCGAATGTCATGTTTTAATTTATAAATGAGAAGGTGTTATAGGCAGTTTTAACGCTTTAGCAATTATTATTGTTAATATTTATTTATCACAACTTAAAAGCGTAGAGGTAGCGGTCATAGGCACGATGACCGCTACCTCTACGATACGATGATAAATAAAATTCTGATATTTACTCTATACCAATTGTAATTAATGTTACTGACTCTGACAATACGATCCCATCAAAAACAATACTTGTCAAAAATACCAAGTCTCGCAACTCAGTTGTTCTACGGTAAAAAGTTGTGAGATCCATGTAATACCAAGTCCAGGCCAGGAAATCTTTAACGTTTTACATAAATATATTGACTTGGCCATCGCACTAAATAATTAAATTTACACGTGTTTTCATGCGATGGCCAAGTCAATATATTTATGTAAAACGTTAAAGATTTCCTGGCCTGGACTTGGTATTACATGGATCTCACAACTTTTTACCGTAGAACAACTGAGTTGCGAGACTTGGTTTTTTTGACAAGTATTGTTTTTGATGGGATCTCATTTCTTTTTGTATTTTGTAGACAGCAGTTATGTATCTAGAAAACTGGACCGAAATTGAAAAATTTTACTCGACTTGGCGGTTGCACTACCGTGCCCCCAAATATTTTAGTTTTTCCTTGATTCATACACCAAACACTACTTATATTCCAAATTTGAAGCTTCTAGGTCTGCTAGAAGTGCCTTAGAGTTTTGATGATCGGTGAGTCAGTGAGTCAGTCAGTGAGTGACAAAATTAAGTAACTTTGACCCGTTATAATTCTTAAACTACTGGTTCAAATTGAATGAAATTTTAAATATACCGTGTCTTTACAATGCCTGCATAGCTAATGAAAATTCAGCCTTCTAGTTTTATCCACAACGAAGTTACAGGCGGTCGAAAATGGCCTGAATTGCTTCGAGAAAAGGATGGTACGGCCGTGCCGCTTTTTTGCTCGACTTGGTGGGGGCACTGCCGTGCCCCCAGATTTACTTTATTATGACTTCGTGAAAGTTCCTGAATGCTATCCCTCTCTCTCTCTCTTCTCGTAAAATACCCGGATGTTAATTAAATCGCATCATTATTCTAAAGTCCAGCGAGCATAGCAAAGCATGCATCGTAAGAATATCCTAACGAGCTCTATTTTGGGGCATATTAATGAAGTCTTGCGCGCGCTGTTTTCTTTATGTAAATCATATCTACACACCCGTCCGCAGCGCGATTACATTTCATGTGATATTCAAATTATTTGAGGAACCTAAGAATAACTACGACTGAATAGTAATTAAAGTGGAATACGGAGAAATATTTTGAATAGTCGACTCCACGTGTTGATGGTAGGTAGTTAACTTCTCCACTATCCTTTAATTTAAATTTATTAATCGACTGAAAGACAAACTGTACTGTATCACTAACCACATTAATTCACACAAAATGAATTTTACTAAAATTATATTGGGGTAATTGAAAGTTCCGTATCAGTTACATAAGTAGGTAGTTATTGATCGAAAACAGAAATGATTAGCAAAGCGATCGAATTGGCGGTTCCGGTAAGCATATTAAGACTATGAAATTAATATTGGAAATGTTCTAACCAAAGTAGTGACAATTTCGCGAAATATTTTTAAAATATTTGTCCCACCTGGGAATCAAACCCAAAACCTCTCGAAGTCGAAGTCGAGAGTTTGGCACTGGACCACGGAAGCGTTATACGCGAGGGCGAGTAGAGAGCGTTGTACTTAGAAACACACAACTCATTAAACTATGAACTGAGAAATTATAACCCCCAATTAGAACCGCAGATCGCAACGCACAGCCGTCATACCTCCACCCGCGAGCGCCCGCAATCAGTCTCGTAATAAATTAGCGCCATTACTAAATTATTCCCAGCTTCTAGATTAATCTAGAACTCGGGCCGCAGTCCGACGCGGCCGCTCTTACATTATTACAGCATTCATTAGAGTTCGCTAATTACTCCTTGCTTTAATGAATAAGCTCTAATGAACCACTTTCTGTTAATTAAAGGCGGCAAGGGGGAGGGTGGCGGGGCGGGCGGGAGGAACTTTTCTCCGGGCTCTGATTGCAAATGTGAATTTGTGTAAGTCTAAGTAGAAAGAGTGTTCCACTGAAAGGGGGTAATGAGGCGGTCGAGTGAGGCCGAATTAGTTGCAACTGCGCTCTGTAAATTATTTTTCACCGTCCAAATTGCGTGGCGTTTCGTAATTTGTATGTTATGTTTCTCATAATTGCGCCAAACGGTTTTTTATCTTTTGCCGGGGAAGATTATTGTGGCCGGTTTTCGTGGAGTTTATTCGTTTCCGTGGTCACTTTTGGTATCTTAAATATTAACAACATCTAATTGAAATATGGACGTACCTACTTAGATATTATTTATGAAGCGGTGGAGCCTAGAAATCCTAGCGAGTAAAAATTAATTCCACTTTTTAAATATTAGCCAGAGTTGTAGCTTTATAAAGTTGTTTTAGGACCTCATTAATTATAATATTAATATTAATGAGCTCCAGCCTCCTTCATGTGAAGCTAATAAATAAAAATAACGTTCTAAATTTTCTATTAGGTATTTTCCAAGAAATATCTGTTGCTCTTGGCATAAGAATATTGGTTAAAAGGTCTAGAAGACTTAAAAGGTAATAATATCTTTGCAATAGAGATACCCAGACGTGTAAGCAAGTGTATGATGATTAATAAACTCTTTAAATTATCTAAAACTAGCGGCCGTCCGCGACTTCGTACGCGTGGATCCCGTTTTACCCCCTTCATCTATCTTACGCGGTTTAGATTTATTCATACAAATGTTTTTTCTCGCTAATTCCCGTTCCCGTAGGAATTTTGCAATATCCTGTTATAACTAAGCTTTAAGTTTACTAAGGTACCTGCTTGCCAAATTTCAAGCGTCTAACTTAAGCGGTTTAGATTTTTCATACAAAAGGATTTTCCCGCTAATGCCCGTTCCCGTGGGAATTCCTAAGTATCCTATAACCTGCCCAGAAGTATGAAGAATAATTGTACCAAGTTTCGTTAAAATCCGTCGAGTAGTTTTTGTTTCTATAAGGAACATACAGACAGACAGACAGACAGACAGACAGACATACAGACAGACAAAAATTTTGCTGATTGCATTTTTGGCATCAGTATCGATCACTAATCACCCCCTGATAGTTATTTTGAAAATATATTTCATGTACAGAATTGACCTCTCTACAGATTTATTATAAGTATATAGATAACAGCACTAAAATCCCTCAATTCAAGTTGTAAGAAAACATGGAAACGTGTTCCCTTAACGATATTAGCTAGTGCTATTATTTTCAAATCTCAAACCTATCTGTATAACGTCTGTCTGTAAGCTAGCAAAGTTTCCAAACTATTTCAATTATACCACTGATAGTTAATTGAAAGCGAGTTCCAGTGATTTTGTTCTATCGGACTAAAAGGCTCTTTGTTAATCCTAAGTAAGTAGTTTTAGAGAAAGAGGTAGGTACGTGGAAATTTTAGTGCCTTTATTTTTATTTATCAAACTAAAGTTACTTACTCGTACTTAAGTAGGTACTGCTAGCTTGGTAAACTATTAGTGCACTGACATAAAACCGCCTCTACAAGTCTAGCCATTGTCACCCAGTGTGGTTCGCGTCATCACTGGAAGTAATCGCGGGTTCGATTCCTGGAGGTTAGTGTTTGAAATGTCTCATGAGTGTACCAACTTGCCTATATAAACGTAGATACCTAACTTAATTTTTCGCTTAATTAACTATGTAACATATTATAGTTCAAAACATTTAAAGCATCGAGATCGTTTTTTTAAGATGTTTGCTGATTTTTCAATTTCGTCAACTATCACTGTCAAATTAATTCCGTGTCCAAACACAAACAGGAATCTGTTGAAACAATTATCGTATTTGAATAAGACTCGTAATTAGTGAATTAGAACGCTTATGAAAACGCGTCCGACAATGTAACGCGAATAGTCAATGAGCGTGAAACTGAGGCAGGATAAGGATTGACAAATTGTGGAGTGCCGTGGTATATAAGCGGTCGGTCCTTAGTTGGGGTATCCACTGGAACAGCTTCCTTGGACGTCCGCACTAACACAACATGTTCAAACATATCGCGGTAAGATTGTGATTGTCGCTGTGTATACCTAAGTGTTAATTGATTTTAGTGTTATAATCAAGCTTAAATTTTTTAGATTTACCTACAGCGTGAAACAGGCTGCTACCATTTGTCAAAACCGTCAGATTAAACGCTAAAGTGACGGATTACAGTAACTGCTAAATATTCATTAAAATGTATGTGGCCATCCATTATTTCGTTACCACTTTTGCGGCTCGATGAAAAGAACTAAACGTTAGCAATTTCACGCAATCGGTTCGATCAAAAGTGGAGGAATATTTGATGAGATATCATGTTTTATATGTATTTACAGTTCGCTTGTCTGCTTGGAGTGGTAGCGGGGGCTCCATACGCACCCCTGACAGGCTACGCCACGGTTGCCGCGGTCGACCATGTGGTAAGTAAAATGCTTTTTTTTTGTTATTTTCAGTAAGTATTTTTTCTTCTAATGTTAATCGTATTACTATTTGTCCGTTGATTTCGGCTCAATGACGTCCACTGCTGGACAAGGGCCTCCACCAAGGATTTCCATGACGACCGGTCCTGTGCCTTACTGTATTACGGCTCTAATGCGCACAACTTTTGCGATGTTTCTTATTGTAAACTGTTCTTTTCAGTCGATCCCTCGCTACAGCTTCAACTACGCGGTCAACGACCCCTTGACAGGCGACAACAAGGCACAGACCGAGTACCGCGACGGCGGAGTGGTCAAAGGCTCTTACTCCGTCGCCGAACCCGACGGCACCCTGCGAGTGGTTGACTACCACGCCGACCCGGTCACCGGTTTCAACGCTGACGTCAAGAGGATAGGACCCGCCGTCCACCCGCAACCAATCCTCCACAAACCCATCATAGCCGCACCCATCGCTCCAATCTCAACTAGCATCGTCGGACTCGGCGGTCTCGGCGGCTGGGGAGCCCACAGCGGCGTCGGACTTGGCGGACTTGGCGGACTTGGCCTCGGCTACAACACTCTTGGCCTCGGCTACAGCGGACTTGGTCTCGGACTTGGCCACGGACACGGATGGAAATACTGAATAACCCTCGCAACTGACGCAACAGTAGTTTAACGGGCGTAACGTTACCTATTGTGTTTTCGCATTTGGATTTTTCCTAAGTGAAAATGTTAATAGCAATTAAGCTGTCCAGCATAAGAATAAAATGTTAAATCATTTGAGTTGACTTTTAAGACCAACCTGCTAAAATTGAGGCTATGTTTTTAATACCTGTCGGGAAATTATACTGAAAACGAGTTCGTTAAATAAAACGTGAAAAATATATTTAACTACACATTTATTACATAAATACCATTGACACATCCAACACTTAAATGCACGTAATATTTGAGCGGTATCCCTAGGGACCCCATATATTTCTTATGTACATAATGATATAGAGTGGGGCACGTTACGCGAAGGATCGGCCCTCGCCGAACAACCAGAGACACAGGCGATCCACTAGGTACGCGAACAACATGTCTGCTATTAACACTTGCACTAATATCACTCGGTACTGAAACAAAAGAAAGAAAGCTGTCATAATCATATTAAACTACAATAATAAATCTTAGGTATTGCTAAATATTCTCAACCTGGGAGCCCGCACACAATCGGTAAAATTTTAAAATACAGAGACCTCACGGTACACTAACGCTTCTAGTGGCGTGATGCTAAATAATAATAAAAACACAGAATGTACTTTTTTAAGTTGCCTCAAGAGACTGAGAGGTAAATAAGTAGTTAATATTATTCATGATAATTCATGCTAAATCATGTAGGTAGGTATTTCCTCCGCCATTTTCTGCAGTTTGGCACCTCACGTCATTTTACCGAAGTCAGCCCTATAGCTTCGGCGCAGTGCCGATCACTGACGTTTGTCAACAAAATGATGCTTGACTCTTGAGACAAGCTAAATTACACCATATTGTTAATGACATTGAGCATACATTTTTTTAATTACCTTCGCGAAGTAAAACTTTGTACGTAGTACCACAGGTAGTACTTATTATTATTCTGTGGTATAAGCAATACGATTACTATTCGATCACGAGTCATTCCTGCTCATGACACAAAGCAGGTTGTCTTCGCTTATACAGTTAACAGAATCAAGGAAGTGTAAATTACTTACATCAAGTGGAAAGTCGACGATCTCGAACATGTTGGATAGGTCGGGAAAGACGCCGGCGGCCAACGCCAATACAGCGCCTCCCGACACTACAATACTGTACAGCAAAGGCTTGTTGTCTCGCAGACCTTCCATGAACGGCTCGCCCTGAAACAAAAGACATAAGCAACTAATTAATAGGTCAATATTCACCCCCTTACTAATAAAACTAAACGTCACTTTAATTAACCTTTAACTACTGACGTGGGGGCCTCTCAGGCCCTGAAAAAGTCAAATTGTTGAATTTCTCCTCTCCCACGTGCACGACACACGCGAATCTTTTAGTACCTTCGAGTTTCATTGCGCCGAGGCTGTCAACAACTGTGCACGTGATTGCACGCGCAATTTCAGTAGGTAAATTAATTTTAAAGTTTCTTGTGGGCCTCTCAGGCCCCCACCTCAGTATTGGCGTAACTTTTTTTGTCTATAGTTTTCATTTAGTTGTCGTCTTTTCTTGAAATAATTTGAAAAAATCTATAATATGGAGCCCATAGTACGTCGTCCGAGAGAAAGCGGTATCTCGGAAGTAAAAATAACCAGCATTTAACGAAAAATAAAAGAACAGTAGTTTTTGGCACGTATGTTAGGAAATGATATGCCTGTACCTGTCTATCAAGATTTAAACGATGAAACCAAGTCCCATACATGTCTTTTGAAGATTCAAATGAAATCTACATTTTAAAAACATGTATGGCTTCCTTCACTGAGCAAAGCAAGTTTATCCAGACTGTGTTTAATTCGCACTATTTGGTGTGTGTAATTATTTTCCCCCTTTTTCATATTATGATTACTGATACATCATTAGCTAAAAAGACTATTGAAAATTAAGATTCTAAGTTGATTTGTTAAATTTATGAATATTTTTCATGCTAACTTTGTGAATCATGCTTTCATGAGATTTTTGCCAAAAAATGCTACAAGTTTTCTAAATATTGAAATAATACGTACTTATTAACAAATAATTTACATAAAAATCGTTTTATTGTATTGAAATATAACCAATATTAATAATTATTAAACATAAAAACCCTAAAAAGATAATAATATATTTTTAAATATAAGCACACACATGTGCGGGCCTCTCAGGCCCCCACGTCAGTGTTTACGTGAAATTAAATCCACCTCAGTAGCTAAAGGTTAAAACAGTGTTTTAAAGTGACGTTTAGTATGGAAATGTCATTTTAAAACAGTGTTCAACAACTGTGTTACTTTTTATTAGTAAGGGGGTCAGTGTGTAAGTTACGGTTGGTAGATTCTAAATCAATTTAGTTCGCAGATCTGTCAATAGATGTCGCTGTTGCACAGTTACCTCGCGGTGTATTTTTGTGACACGTATTTGAAAGACCGTGTTCGTCGTTATAAACCGGTCGCGTGCCAAGCCAAATATGTTTTTTATTTGTAAATTAATTCAATCTTGATCATACTGTCCTCAGAGGGTTAAACAGGCATTATTAAATATTGAGATAACTAGGACTTATTTCTAATTTGATAGAAAAAATTTTTCTTCCAAAGATAGCTTGATACAGTCTACGGAACTGCTTAAAAATACAAAGATGGTTATTAATTTTTCCAGCTAATTAATTAATTGGTCAATATAAACGAGTTATTGATTAATTTACTTACCCTGTAGTTGATAGCAAAGGTGGATATCTGCAGGGCCATGGATATGATGTAGACGGTGCTGTTAAGAAGGTCTGGCGCGAACTCCCGCTCTTCATCTTCTGCCAAATCCATGTCCAGTTTTGGTTTCGTATCGCTGCAATAAATATTATTTATTTAGTTAATCATGTATTAATTACTAGAAGTAATTTCTTCTGGTGTACATAATTATGTGTATTTTCTTCACGGAGACGAATAAATGCGAGCGAAATGATTTCGCAATTATTTCGCAGTATTAACAGCATTGTTATAATCCGGCAGTTGGAGGTAACACAGCCAGTTCCTCTGTTTGAGGATTCCGAGTGTAGGTTGCACCATTTCCCATCAGGTGAGATGCATGCCAAGAGCTTCCTCTTTGTGATGCAAAAAAAAATTAACTGTTACATATGTAATTTGTCTGAGGAGGCAATACGAGACGTAGTTTTGGAGCAATTCAAATCGAAATTGAATACAAAATTGCAGATTTCGCACAGAAAGTATGACTGGTATAAAAAAGTACCCCTCTGTTTCATTTTTTGATAGACAAATCTGTATGTAGATAGAATGAATGAAGTCATAATTCAATTACACTTACCGGCCGGGCGACCGCGCCGTGGCTTCGTGCACCAGATAGATGAGGCACAGGAAGTGCACGGCGAACTGAGTCAGCACGGTCATTATCGTGTACACGTTGAATATGTTCGGCAGGGGGCGCTGCTTCGATAGTTGTCGCAGCGGCTGGGTGGAAAGAAATAACAGAATATTTAAAAAAAAAGGTTCAAATGTATGATATGACGTCATTTGAATAATAACTGAATGTGCGGGGACAGCATGTTGCAACAAAAAAGTCGTTTATTGTATCAGCGTACATCATGGGTATGGACAACATTAAAAAAATACACCAAGATAGTCCGATGCAAACTTTATGGCGGCTGGGAACATCGCACGAGTCGTTGCGCAGTACACAAAGGTATCAGCGGGGCGAAGAAAACGAACCTGGACTCGCAGCTAATATCCCAGTTGTATTAAGTTTAAATCGAACTGACTGACTCCTTAATGTAATAATCGACTATTGTAAAGCAAACATTTCCAAGTTCCAGTATCTCACTCTTGCTATCAATTTCAAGATAAAAAAGAACCGTTGGATGTAAGATACCAGCTGCGTTTATAGAGGCGGGAGTAGACCAGTATGTTGCGTCTCGCTCTCACCTTCGAGCGGGATATGAAGAGGAAGCAGGACGCCAGCAGCAGGCTCTGCAGCGTGGCCTGCGTGTCGCTGAACTTGATCCCGTCGAGGTACAGCACGGACTGGCTGTACGCGAGGATCAGTGCGTTCAATGCGAGAATCTTGAACATCTGCAGCGTGGTCACCAGCGTGCAACGGCCTTGCTTGATTATGTGGCAGACTGGAGACAGAAAATATGTTTAGGTGAGTGTTGCTACTATGTAACTTAAGATTTTCATCATCTGTGATAAACATAGATCGTTTCACCCACCATTCTTCCGCTAATGTTTTAGTGTTATCGGTACACGCTAAATCATCCATGATTTCACACGCACACTACAATAATGACACGCGGATTGCTCAAATCAAAGTCCCCGCGTCCCGCGCTTCTTTCGACCAAAAATTTGGTCTTCGTGGATGAAACATCTATAAATGTTTTAAACTTCAGGTAACTAGGGGCGAAAGAATCTCGACACCAGATTCAATTTTGTGATTGTTTCGTCTCAATAGGTGAAGCAATCACGAAATTAAATATTAATTAAACATCTTACATGCACTAGTGGGCGTACAAAATCGTTAGATAACAAGTCGAGCGGAAATTATTATTTTCTCTGACAAGGCTTATCGAATGGTTCCGATTCGCCACCCCTGTCTAATATCGCGGACTACAAATTACTTCGTTCGTTTCAGCCAAATGACGTCCACTGCTGGACAAATGCCTCCCCCAAGGATTTCCACAACGACCGGTCCTGTGCCGCTCGCATCCAGGCACCTCCCGCGACCTTCACCAGATCAGAGTAAATACAAATGAGTAGGTCATCTTCATAGAAACGCACGGGCGCGGTTTGTATGTGAGCGCGCCAATACGTATATTGGCGCGCTCACATACAAACCGCGCTCGGTGCGTTTCTATGAAGATGACCTACTCATTTGTATTTACTCTGACCAGATCGTCGGTCTAATGAGGATCATTTCGATTTTTAGCTGTGAATGCAGATTTATAGGGCTAAG